TTGATCCTTGCAACATGACTTTTGTATTGATTGCATGTGCAGTCGACAAGTACATGTACATGTAGGGCCTAGCACGTACGTGTCATAAATAAATGTCATGCATTGCACTGTAGTACCTACATGTATCTTTATCATACTGCCACCATTTTCAGCCATGTTCCCTGTATCCAATAACAGTACCGAATGATAATGTTGGTTTGTGCAAAAAGGAACCAGCCTATTTTTCCTTCCAGCCTCGCTTTTGTTACGTTGATTTGAATGGGAAAAATCCAAATGGCCGCAACATGATAATGGTCTATAGCTTTCAGGTGGGCCAAAAAAATATTAAAAACTTGAAAGAATGTAGTATCCAGACGCCACTTCAGTGGTTGTGTACAAAGTCTATGGTATTATAAAGTAAGTAAAGAATATAAAGTATTACCAAACACAATTGGAAATGTTTCGTAGTCCCAGATTCATGTCTTTTCCACGCTTTTGCAATGACTGACCTTTATTGAGATGATAAATGATTATGAAGAAAAAAGTGGTGTCAGGTTGCAACATCCTTCTCTACAAGTCCGGATTAACTGTCCGATGCCATGATATCCAGCCATCACCCAAATCATTCGAGTGTTTATATGCTGAACTCATAAGCACTTCCAACTCAATCTCCATAGTGCTTATCTACCGCCCACAGACAAAATCCACTGGTTGCTCTTTCAATGTTTTCATTGATGAATTCTCGTCCATCATTGACCAGCTCTTACTAAACCCAATGCCCATTTTCATCACTGGTGACTTCAATGTTCATGTGGATGACCTAACTGACACAAATGCATGTAGTTTTGCATCGTTGCTCTCAAGCAGTGGCCTACACCAACACATCTCGGATGCTACCCATACTGCCGGTCATACACTTGACTTGCTGATCACACGAACATCGGACATTGCAGTATTCTCCAATCCCCAAATCATTGGTGGACTATCAGATCATAATGCTATAACATGTGATCTTTTGCTCGAAAAGCCACGTACTCTCACCAAGGTTATTTTCAAACGCCACATCAACGCCATAGATACTGTTCAATTCTGCAATGACATAGCCGTTTCGGATCTATTCCACTCAACCCCCACGGATGCTCTAGGAACTAGGGTGGAAAGGTACAACAATACCCTGAAACAACTCCTGGATAAACATGCCCCAAGCAAGAAACGCACAATACAAATTCGACCCAACTGCTTGTGGTATAGCGATGATCTTCATACTGAAAAGCAGAAACGGCGACATCTAGAACGTGCCTGGAGACGATCACGTCTCGAAATTGATCGCCTGCTCTACCAAGAACAAAAGCAAAAGGTCAATCACATGATGGCGACCGCTAAGTCAAACTACTACAACAAGCTGTTCTTGGCCAATGCCAAAGACCAAAAACAGCTTTTCAAACTAACTGACCGATTACTTCACAGGTGTCGTGTGTCCCCTCTCCCTGAAAGCACTGACGAGAATCTGGCAAATGAGTTCTGCTGTTCCTTCACTGAGAAGATCCAGAAGATTCGCCAAGGTTTCAAGCGTGTTACTACTGATTTGCCGCATGAGGAAGAGCTCTGTGCCTCACATCACCTCACATCATTTCAGCCAGTTACAGAAAATGATGTGTCTAACATTCTCAGTAAATCATCATCTAAATCCTGCGAATTAGATCCAATTCCATCATCCCTGTTTAAGAAATGCTCAGCTTCCTTTGTGCCGGTTTTCACTGGCATCATTAATGACAGTTTACTGTTTGGTGATGTACCGGATGATATGAAAGTTGCTCAGATACGACCTCTTTTAAAGAAGCCGCATCTAAACAAAGAGGAAATGCAGAATTACAGACCAGTCTCGAATCTTTCCCTTTTGAGTAAAACCCTTGAGAGGGTAGTCTTAATGCAACTCTCATCTTTCTTAATTGAGAACAATCTACATGACCCGCATCAATCTGCCTTCCGTGCTAATCACAGCGTCGAGTCTGCCACCCTCAAAATCCAAAATGACCTGTTGCAGGCTATGGACAAGCGCAAGATATCATTGCTCGTGCTGCTCGACCTATCAGCAGCTTTTGATACAGTTGACCATCCCACATTATTCAGCCGCCTCAACACTCGTATTGGGATAGATGGAGTTGCATTAGACTGGTTTAAATCATACCTTAATGACCGATCTCAATTTGTCCGGGTCAATGATTCAAGTTCATCTACTGTCTCCCTTGATTTTGGGCTACCTCAAGGATCAGTCCTAGGGCCCGTCTTGTTCTCTCTGTATACAATGCCACTTGGTGAAATCATTCAAAAGCATGGTATATCCTATCATTGTTATGCAGATGATACCCAATTATACATGTCAGTAGACCCTCAACAACACAAGGTTGATTCAGCAATCCAGCAGATGGAAACATGCATTGATGACGTACGTTCTTGGATGACTCAAAACTGGCTTAAATTCAACGATGAAAAGACCGAATTTATCATCATAGGTTCAAAGCAGCAATCGTGCAAAGTTCATGTTCCATCCATAAGGGTTGGTGATTCAACCATCATGCCATCAAATCAAGTCAGAAATCTTGATATTATCTTTGATTCATCTCTATCCATGGAACCTCACCTTACATCAATCTCTAGATCAGTCTGCATGTCGATCCGTAACATCGGACACATACGAAAATATCTTGACAAACACACAACTGAAATACTTGTTCACGCTTTCATCACATCCAAAATTGACATGGGCAATTCACTATTGTATGGCATTAACCTAAATCAACTAAACCGTTTGCAGCGACTACAAAACATCAGTGCCAGACTAATCTCTCTCACTAGTAAACATTCTCACATCACTCCTGTACTAGCAGATCTCCACTGGCTTCCAGTATCATACAGAATTAAATACAAACTTGGCCTATTCGTGTTCAAAATCCTCCACAACAATGCGCCGGAGTATCTCATCGACCTCATCCACCCGTACTCAACAGCACGCACCGGACTCCGCTCCAGTGAGCTCATGATGCTTTACGAGCCCAGGACCTCCACTCTGTGGGGTGACAGATCCTTTGCTGCAGCGTCAACCCGAGTGTGGAACCAACTCCCTCTGGCTATCAAATCATCTCCATCCATCACAACATTTAAGACAAACATAAAATCTCACCTGTACAAACAAGCTTACTCATAACACACAATCTTAACTTGACTTTCTCCTCGAGCGCCATGAGCGCCTATTTTTGGCGGATACCGGCGCTTTACAAATGTTCTTTTATTATTATTATTATTCTTCTTTGCAAAGGCAAACACCACTTTTTATATTCAAATTATATAGGAATCAGGATTATAAACTAATAATTTATTTTATTTTACGCCGGCAGTAGGCACACGCATTTAAAATTCACAACATTGCAGACTACCGTACATAAATCTAAAATGATTTGGTCAAATTAGTAATTTAATTCAATTCATTTATTTCCATGCTTTGTCAGTTTGTGAAACAAATGTACAATCTTTACAGTTTAGAGAAAAGGGTAAACCATAATCAGTAAATATCAAATAAACATAAAAGCAAAATAAAAGAAGCAAATAGAGGAGCAACTATAGAATGCAGGGCCACGCCGAAGCAAGGTTTTTTATTTTGCCTGGAGGCGTGGATGGAATAGGAGTAATAGATATGCAAACCTGCAAAAAAGTGCTAAGTACAGCGAAGGAATGCACTGCACTTGTCTTCTAAGCTTCTCATGAAGGATCGGAAGGGAGGGCGTGCTTGTAAATGTTTTGGGGGCACTGTCTGGAGCGGCGGAGGCGCGGAGTCTTGGAGTCGCAGAATCGCGGAGACGCGGGGCACTGGAGTGGCTAGTGGCGGAGGCGCGGAGTCGCGGAGTCGAGTCGCAGAGACTCGCGCCGATAGAGGGCGCAATTCTCGGCGGAATTTTTTTGAGAACGAAGCATCCATATCAATTTTAAATGGGCGGGCCAATTAGGAAGGGAGGAGGGCGACGGGGCACTGTCTGGAGCGGCGGAGGCGCGGAGTCTTGGAGTCGCAGAATCGCTTTAAATGGGCGGGCCAATTAGGAAGGGAGGAGGGCGACGGGGCACTGTCTGGAGCGGCGGAGGCGCGGAGTCTTGGAGTCGCAGAATCGCTTTAAATGGGCGGGCCAATTAGGAAGGGAGGAGGGCGACGGGGCACTGTCTGGAGCGGCGGAGGCGCGGAGTCTTGGAGTCGCAGAATCGCTTTAAATGGGCGGGCCAATTAGGAAGGGAGGAGGGCGACGGGGCACTGTCTGGAGCGGCGGAGGCGCGGAGTCTTGGAGTCGCAGAATCGCGGGGCACTATACACTGGAGTGTTAGTGGCGGAGGCGCGGAGTCGCGGAGTCGCAGAGACGCGCACCGATAGAGGGCGCAATTCTCTGCGTGACGCGGGGCACTATACACTGGTGGCGGAGGCGCGGAGTCGCGGAGTCGCGGAGTCGCAGAGACACGCACCGATAGAGGGCGCAATTCTCTGCGTGACGCGGGGCACTATACACTGGTGGCGGAGGCGCGGAGTCGCGGAGTCGGAGAGACACGCACCGATAGAGGGCGCAATTCTCTGCGGCTCCACGACTCCACGATCGATTTTCGGAGGTAGGTCGACTGCGGTTCCACGCCTCCACGCAGCCGTACGGAGGCGCGGATGTAGAGTAAAGTGGCCCTGCATTCTATAGTTGTACCCAAATAGAGTATGGGGCTGTTTTAATAAGCAATTAATGTTCAAATTGTTATGTCATGTTATTATTTACTTCCACTTCTGGAAGTAGTTAATAGTTATTATTATTAACCGCAGACAACTATGCCATGGCGAATGCCATGATTGTCCACAATGGAAAACCTTCACAACGCACACATTTACATTGCACGCCGGCACTGCGACGTTGATCGTCGTTTGCCGCTGCAAAAGTGCAAGCCCACAAAATTTACAACGATATTCTCGCTACTTTAGCTATATAACCGTAACTACTCACCACAGGAAATCGTTGTCTTTATCTTCGTATGAATTGTGCACCCCGTTGTAGTTGTAAACCGCAGGCTGCGATCGCTTTCGTCGCTGTCTCGCTGCCGTTGACTGCCGTGCATTACTGCTGCCCGTGCTGCCGCTGCTGCTAGTACTGGCCATTTTGACCTCCCGAGACGGACCGGCCTGTTTTTGGACCCGTAAACAAAAACGATTTTAACGACCAAAACGAGCCTTTGTGATCCTACCACTTGCCACCGTATCTCAGCAAGATCCCGGTATTCATATGCAGTGCAGAACCCAGCTGAAAATTCTCTAAAATTGCATGTTTTGTGCTCGTTTTTCAGGCTCGATATCCGCTGTCACAACAAACACATTTTCATGACAATGCGGATGTGAACGTCGACTCCGTGGAATCATGACTCATCTACGCATGCGCAGAAGGGCGATAAGACGTGGGAGGGCATTGTGGGAGTTCCAGGGATCCGAAAATGAAAGTTGGCCGTGTGATTTCGTAATAAACTTTACTCCTATCAAGGCGGACCGGTACCCCCCCCCCCTCCAGTTTTATTTGAGGGGGCACACCCACAACTTTGACTGGGTAAAGAAAACCCAACAAAAGCAGACTAGTTATTCCACAAGCCAGGGAAAGATATATTTGTAATTCGTGAATCTGAAACTGAAAGGCGTTTCGATCCTGTCTGGTATTCTTTCCAAGAGCCAAAATTCATTAATGACCTTGGGGAAACCCCCCAGATAAAACAGGTTATTTCTTGCTGTCTTGTTAATTAAAGCGAGGAACGTTTTATTGGTAAGTAAAATCCATAGAAATAGTGGGGTTTTTTTTTATCGGATTAGGGCCGTATCATGTTGCTGATAAAGAGCGCCATCACACGACCATCTGCAGCTAGCGACAATGGGTGCATGCAATATGCTCCCAAGAAAATGGGAGGGGAGTTACTGAATAAAATTGTGAGGAAGACCCTTTAATGGCAAATGTAAGGGAAATTAATAGTACGGCAAAAACTTTTATTGGCGTTTCTAGATATCAGTATTCGTACTTTATAATGTCGTCGTACATTTACTACTAAATTCAAATCCACTCTGTAATTCGTGTCTTTATTAACAAAACAAGACATGAGTAACAACTTAAGCCTAGGACCTTAGGCCGAAAAAAAAGTCTCCGGTTTCTGGTATGCGCGCGCGTCGCCGTAGCCATGCGCGTCGGCAAAATGAAAAAGGTTTTTTTCAATAAAAGATGATGTCTCAAAACCGCCAAACTCACTGGTTTGACTGGAATCCTGCTGCTGCACAGTTTTAACGTGTTTTTAGAAGGGGTTATGATCGAGAATAAGCTTTATGTGGCCTCTCTGGACTCCCATTATATTTGCACTAAGTTTTAGTCGGGCACCATTTGCAGTCATCAGCCGACATTTGAAGCAAAAAAAACAGGTAAAAAAAAAAAAACGCGTCGCCGCACCACTTTTTGGGCAAACTCCATACCAGAAACCGGAGACTTTTTTGTGGCCTTATTGTCACAATCACAGGATTCAATGAATGGCAATGTAAGAAGACAATAAGGCAAAGCAATAGAACGAAGAAAAAAAAACATTATTTAAGAGGAAAACAAAACAGTAGTTGATTAATTTAAGGTAAACAATACATTGAACGGAAAATTAATCAAGGGAACTGGAACTGGTCATGAAAGAGGTTCAGAAGAAAGACGGGGGGATCATTCATCCACTCTGTCGATCCAGACTGTTGTATATTTAGAATAGAATATTACGAAAGATGACACCAGAGCTATCTTGGAGAGGCGAGTGATAGAATTGTTGATTTCTTTTTTTGGTCTGGGCGTGGAACAGAGATTTGAGACGGTTTTTTTTTTGTCGGGGGTAACTAAACCTCGGCTTCCTACTTCAATAGCTATGAATGTGCAGTTGATGCAAGTTCTTTATTATACAGCTCTATTATGGCTGATACGATAAACCACTAAAACCGATAAATAAAGGAAACGTGTACCTACTAGCTAGTGCTGCGGTAGCCGGGTACATAGCAGACGTTATTCACACAAAAAACATTTTCGACTAAGTTTCCTGAATCTGTTTTATAAATTGTAAATTTTGTGGTTCCCCCCTTTTTTAATTTTTTAATTTTTTTTTTTTTTTTTTTAGACATTTGAACATTTTTCTTTTGCTAATTTGTGGTTTAGAGGATTTTTTTCTTCAAGGGAATTAAAGTCCGAGAACCTGACTTGCAACTCATAGCGAATGGTATGGAAAAAAATATCGCCCCTCATGTAGCTTTCTTCCATCCAATTAATTTGAAGCAGTAAATTTTCGTTTTAAACTTTAAGATGGAGATTATTTCAGAACGATATGACGTTTTTGCGCCCTCGTGCGTCACACCGTTAGAATGTGAATTAGCTAGCAGACGACGTGTCCATGACCATGTTTTGTAGCTGCTGCCCTCATTCGACCCCACCTTTTCTTAATCCACTGGTACCCTTCCGTACAAGGAAGCTACTGCGGTGCACCAGCGAAATACAACGAAAACAAACCGGACTGTATATTTTTGGCACACAACAAAGTTTAGATAAAATGTTGCAAGGACACACGATTTGACACCAGTAGCAAACATGGAGTCGCTGGAAAATAGCGTGGAACAACCTGTGGCATTCCCAGCTAGCGATGGCCAGCCGGCTACCGAGGAGGAAAGGAAAGTCGTACAGGAGTTCAGCTATCTCCTGGAAAAGTCCAAGCAGCTTTTTAATGGGTTGAGGTGAGAAACGGAGTGTCGATCACCAATCGCGACTTCTCGATCACACTCACACTGCTTGTCTTGATTTTATTGCACTGGTCATTGCATGCATGCGCGAGTCATTGAGTGTCATCGCCGTACAGATCACGCACGGCACTGTCATCATGGTCATGACTGTACAAGACTGTCTTTTATTTTGCTTAAATAATATGGCACTGCATAAATAATGCACTCTTTGTGCATTTGACTTGATTGGGAAAAAATGTAGGCGATCGTGAAGTGTAGGGCTCCTGTCAAATGCCTGTTTTGTTTTGATCAAAAATGTTTTTTATTGCTCGAAAATCACCTTTACAATCAAAAGCAGACTTTTCTCAATTCTAATGACACCCGTTTTGCAATTTTGAACAGATTCTTGGGGTAGAAATCACGATTTTTCTGCGCGGTTTGTGCCTTGCAATTCAGCGCGCCGTGCATGCTCACGGTACATGGCGCGGTGATCGCCATCTTTATTTTCAGGTCGCGTGTTGTCGCCGCACTGTCATCGTCATTTTACCCCCAAATTTCCTTCAAAAAATCAAAACCCTGCCCTCTATCTATGCTATGACATACCTGTTTATTGAGAATGTTGCCAACTAGTTTGGTAGGTCCAATAATGTTAAAGTGGATTTTGTTCCCTGAACCGGGCCCTACACTTCACAATCGCCAAAATGTACAATCAGTGCGACAGTTCGGGATCGACAGTTCGGGATCATCTCACTTGATTAAATAAAAATTAATTCAAGTGTAGGCTAACCAAACTTTTTTCAAGCTTTTTTTATAACTAATTTGAAGGTCTATCCATAGGTCTATCAAAGTATCATTTTGCAATTGTCGGGTAAAAGAAATGTTGGAAACCACGATCAAGTTTGGCAAAAAATCCACTTGTATTGTAACTGGCCAGTGAAGGAAGCGCGTAAAGGCAAAAATCTGGTTTCCTGTCGGTGCCTGTGGAAACTAAAGTAGTCAACATTAATTGTTTTTATTTTTCATTTACTATCAAAAAAAAATACAACTCCCCACCAGCTTTGTAAACAACAACTGAAATCAAGTGACTTCTGGTTACTACATTCTTTCTCCGTGCCACCCATGTTTTTTGGATTGATTTATCAATATAAAGGCTTAACAATTAAACTTTTTTTCGAGGGAGGGGGGAGGGGTTTAGAACATGGGAATCGCTGTACTGCCTTGCTTGCAGACCATGGTCTTATTTTGAGACTTCCGCTCTGCCGATTTTCAGGCCTGATTTGGCTCTTCCGAGCTACGTATTTGCTCACAATAGCTTGATTAACTTCCCTCTGAGAGACAGGGAGCCCATTTGAAGAACCTAAAAGCAGTGGGTGTGCAAAGAATTCCTTTCACCAAGAGAGGAAAGAAAACACAGCGAAGCCAAAGAAGTAATAATCAAAGGTTATGAGCATACTAGAGCCAAAATAAAAATAGGCCGTGTTTTCAGTAATCCTACCGAGTCACCAACCCTAAAATTTTGGGTATGCATAGGGTCTGCAGTGTACTCATTAACCCTCCTGCTGTTTGAACAGTCACAGACAGTCAAAAAATCAATCCTCTTCCTCTGCCGGCGTGCCTTTTACACAGGCTAGTCACCAACAGTCAGATCATATTTCAAGTAAGCACTGTGACTAGTCAAATTCCATCAACAGACAAAGGCTACATGGAGCAGTGGTACATGTAGGTACAGCTGGCTTATCAATCACCTACAGTCAAAGCAAAGCTGTATCATGTTACATAAACGTCAGTCAATGGGAGCTCTTAACTGTTGAAAACAGTCACTTGATTGATTTTGAATGAAAGGACAACTTTGTACAGAATGTATGTTTGCATAGGAAGATTAAAGTAATTATGCCATTAAAATGATTCATTTTCGTTTTTGTTAATGGATTTTTCTTTTTAGAGACCTCCCGCAATATGGACACAAGCAGTGGCAGTCTTATTTTGGAAGGACCTTTGACGTCTACACCAAACTCTGGAAGTTCCAACAGCAAAACAGGTACAGTACAAAAACTGTTTCCCTGTATTCTAAACGTGTGATAAACTGTTTTTACCGGTTTCAGCGGTTTGTAGTGTACAGTGTGAGCCTTTTTTTTGAAAAAAATGTTCGTCAGCAGTTGAACTTAAAGGGAATAGACCGGTAGGCCCTACAACATTTGCTTTTGTTGTAATTTTCAGAAATAAATGGATTTGGGGGTTAGTATTTTAAAGCAAATATTGTTACACAGACTTGTTTGAAGTTTGTGTTCATAGATGCTGGAAAAACCAAGAAAAACAATCATGTTCCTGTAGTCTGGTTCCCTGACTCCACTCAAGATGAAACTGAGCAATTTATAGACGTCGGGGAATTGTAAGGTCAGGGAACCAGTCTAGCTGGCTTGTACCTGTTCATAGATGTCTAATCAACTGCAAAATAAACAAAATGCGGACCTTAAACTAAATATGGAAAATTGGGGGCAGTATTTGAAAAAACAACAACATTTTTTTCCAATGCTGGTCGGCCCATCAGCGTTGGAAATTGATTAAAAAATACCACTTTTTTTGAAAATGACAGCACACCAGGTGCCATGATTTTACGGGATGCTTTAGACTGTCATCCACGAACAGTCCAATAAGGTACATGTACATGTATTTCATAATAATGTTGTAGATTGGTGTTTTTTTTTATGTTAGCAAATGTTGTATGTTTCCCTTATACACCAGATACATTGTATACGTGTACATGTATTACATGGTATGTTCTGTCACAAGAAACATGATACCGGTACAAAAGTGCAACCAGAAGTGCAACAAAATGTATTTCCATGCACGTGCATACATGTATGTACCTTACACAAATGCTCAGAGATTCATGATAATGAATCAAGTAACATCAACATTCTGTGAAATGACACTATGATCCACAACACTCCCTGCGAAGACTTAAAAGCTTGACGGCGGTCACTTTTGAAGATGCTAACCCCAGAACCGGCACGATCTTGCACTGTGTGTCCCGGCCGTAAAAGCCGATTTCAGGCGTGATTATAACCGATGAGGCCTGGCCCGCGAAATTGCTCCCTGCAGTGAATTCTGATTGCATTACTGAGCCCGCCGGGGAAATTCTCTTTCTGCTGTTGACGATACAGGAAGATTATCCTTGCCAAGATCTTCCTCCCAAGTGTGTCAACTGAGAAGAAGTGAACATCACTTTATTTATTAGTCCTGAAATCTTGATTCAATATTTCATTGAGCCCTTGTCTGAAGGGGTTAAATGGGACTCATAAATGACATTTTACATGAAATTCAAAGTCTTCACAGAAAGTACAAACTGTACACATTGACAGGTACAAGGTGTCGGTACATGTAATTGGTATGAATACAACTCTCCAGTGCGTTGTGTACAGTAGTGGCTAGAACACTACAGCGAGCGGTTGTGTAATAAGCCAATCACAGTTATTTAACCAGATTAGGAATTTAATCAATCAGACACAATCGATTCTAACCAACTGTGCTGTGGCACGTAAAATGTTTGCAGTCATGATGATTTCTACTGTAGTTTGTCCTTGTAGTACTAAATAAGATGAACAGGCGACAGATTTTGCTGATCGCGTTTGCAATAGGGCAACACGTCTTATTGGGGGACAAATTGGTGTCGCCCTTTTGTCATTAATTTTACCATCTCGAAACATCTAGATCGATTCCTCGTGGTCCAAAACATACCTATACCGATATTCGTGGAGGCAGGATAAGGTAAACTTGGGTTAGGTGACAGTTTAGGTTTGTGCACAAGTCTATGGGAAAGTCGCCCTATTATAGCATTAGTAATAGGCCTAATTATTATTTATTTCTGGTAATGAAACCAAGGGTTTCTCAAAAGCACCCTAGGCACTGTTCCGGTAGCTCACAAGCCTGAAGAAACCTGCAGAGACGAGACAATGAGAAGAAATTACAGATTTAGTGAATGTGAATACAGTTTGTAGTTTCTTGCATTGTGTAAATTCATGTAATTTATGTATGTACACATATGGTGTAGGATGTATGGTTTCTTTTTCATTTTATTAACCCTAACTCCTGGGGCTCTTTTACTAGAAAGTATCCTGAATCCGCCAAAATCCACCAATTTTGTCATGCAAAAATTGCTGGTATCCTGAATCCATCAGAATCCCCCAGTGTAGATTCTGGAGGTATCCTGAATCCGCCAGAATCCACCAGCAAAAGTCTTGATGGATTCTGGCGGATTCAGGATACCATGGTGGCATAAAAAAAAATACAGCATGTTTTTCCATAGAGTCTTCAAAATCCATCACCTAAATTTCTGGTGGATTTTGACGGATTCAGGATACCATGCTCGCATGAAAATTGTGATGTGTGTTGTTGCATAGAATCCGTCAAAATACACCAATGCATGGCGACCCCAGCATGGATCAGTACCGAAGTGAATACGTCTTGCGCACAAAATTTGTGTGAAAGACATAGCGCATGTTTCAGCCCGTAAACCATAGATATAGAATGAAAAGACTAGATCGGCAGCGCGTCCACACGCGCCAGTCACTGTGCGATAAATCTCTGCCATTTTGGTTGTCTCTCATAGACGCGCAACAAATGAACGTAAAGTAATGGAGCTAAATGTATCTTTCCTCCAGCACGTGACCTAGCTCAACACGCGCGAAGCAAGAAATGCGCACCAAGTATTTACGCGATGCGCACACATAATTATTAGCGATGCACATGGTGTTCTTTGCGCGTAAACGGCGTTGCGTTCGTCACGTTTTCGCGCATTATTTGTATCTTTCCTCCAGCAAGTGACCCTCCATGCAAGTCCACCCAGTACATGTGTGTACATGTTTGTACAGTACGTGACAGACTTGGCAGGGCTAGTGCCAGCAGTATTTACTTGACCACAAACATTGCAAAAGAGTTAAACTGTTGAGATCCTGAATCCATCAAAGTCCCCCAATAGCTCAAAATGGAGGTATCCTGAATCCATCAAAATCCGCCAGTTCCGCTAGGCTTCGAATCCTGAGTCCATCAAAATCCCCCAGTTTGTTCAATATGGAGGTATCCTGAATCCGCCGAAATCCCCCGAAACAGGGGGGTGGATTTTGATGGATTTAGGTACGTTAGGGTTAATACAGAATTAAACATGCAATACATACATACTTGTGTTTCTCTCTCCTTAAATTACCAAGTGAGGATGGATTGAACATTAGCATACGGCAATGAGTAGTAAGGCCAAAAAAAAAATAATAGTTCTGCTTCCGGTTACCCTAACCTACCTTATTTTGACAGCCCCTACCCTTATTTTTGGGGGGAAAAATGAGGAAAAAACCCTACCTTGTGCCCTTGACTACACGCAGACACCTACGTTGTGTACATAATTATGATCAACACCAGGAAAAAAGCCCAAAAAAATTTCTCTACCTACACCTACCCTATTTTTAAATGCCATACATGTATAATCAGAAGCAGAATTATTATTTTTTGTTTTGGCCTAACCAGATTCTTGTAATTTGCTATGGACACAGTGCCTTCTAACAGTTTTATTAACACCCATACTGTACAATGTACATGTACATGTACCGTACAAGTACAAAATACATTGTACTACTGTAAATTATTGTAGCATGGCACATATATTCCCCTGAACCTGCGTGCAATACCCCTTTATTCAACTCATATTGCAGCCTGAGGTGTAATTTATCCCCCCACCCATCCACACTTTTCCCCTGTAAATTTGCGCGCGAATTGCTGCACATTGTATTTTGTCTGTGATGCGCGCTAGTGGCTGCGAGCAGCTCAGGTTCATTAGTGACAACAGCGAGTCGCATCGCCCCTGGTCCATTCAAATGTTAATGAATGTTGAAGCGTGGCTTTAGAATGAGACTGATCTTTGTGGGGTTTTTTCCAGTGTGCAGTTTTTCCACATTGTGTTTTGTCTAGTGCGACTTTTTCCAACAATGAACATGATGAACAGTCATTTTCTACAAAGTGACAAATTTTTTGGTACAATTTTTTCATTTTCAGTGTTCACGATGTAAAGTAATTTCTTGTAAATCAAATTCTTTGATCTATAGTCACAATGACCAATGTTTACATCATTCTAGTGAGTTATTGTTATTTTCATTTGACTTTTAAATAATTGTCAGTTTAATAATTTTCTGCAGTCTTTCCACATTGTGTTTTGTTGGTGAGACGTGTTCTAACAATGAACATGATGAACAATCGATTTCCACAAAGTGTCTAATGTGTATTTATTTTTTTCCTTTTCAGTGTTCACAATGTAAAATCTATAAATTGTAAATCTAATTCTTTGATAGTAACATGTTTACATCGTACTAGTTAGATTGTCAATTAGTTGAAGTCATTCAAATAATTGTCATTTGAGTTTAAATTTATTCATGTTAAAGGGAAAATACAACATTTGCAAACATCAAAAAATAAAATTACCAAATCATTTTGAAATACCTTGCTGGACTGTTAGTGAATGACAGTGTAAAGCATCCTGTAAAATCATGGCACCTGGTATACTGTCATTTTCAAGAAAAGTGCTATTTTTGTATCAATTTCCAACGCTGATCGGCCGATCAGCGTTGGAAACAACTGGCTTTTTTTCAAATACTGGCCCCAATTGACCATCGCACTTGTTTGCAATCGATTACAAACCTATGAACGGGTACAAGCCAGCTAGACTGGTTCCCTGACCTTACAATTCCCCAATGTATGTAAACTGCTCTGTTTCTTCTTATATGGAGTCAGGGAACCAGACTACAGGAAAATGATCGTTTTTCTTGTTTTTTATAGCATTTTCGAACCCAAAACCTCAAAAAAGTAAGTGTAACTATATTTGCTATATATTTCCAACCCCCCAATTCCATCCATTTCTGAAAATTACAGCAAAAGCAAATGATGTATATTCCCTTTAAATGTAAAATTGAAAGTTTTTTAATTCTGCATCATACCGGTAGCCAAAAAGATGCGTACACGATTTAGCCCTCCTGCTATTTAAACACACTTTACAGACAGTCAAACTTTCCGTCCACTTCCCCTCCTATACTTTTAACACAGGCTGGTCACCAGCAAGCAAGCACTGTGACTACATGTAGTCAAACTCAGTCAACAGACAATGAACAGGCAAGGCAGGCAAGTTGTGGGCACAGCTGGCTTATCAGTTATCCACAGCCAAAGCAAAGCTGTATCGAGTTACAGTCATGGCCAGTCAATCTTGCTTTATGTAGGCTGGGAATTCTGAACTTTTGAAAACAGTCACTTGATTGATTTTGACTGAAAGGACTACTTGGCACAGAATGTATGTTTGCATAGGAGGTTTTAGATGATACACAAAACAAAGTTTTAGGTGTCAAGTAAAAAAAGAAAAGAGTTGTTGCATTTAGGATTCTATCCCTCTGATTAACTTCCTGCTGTCTTGTGCATGTATGTCAAGACCCTTGCAAGAATGTGGCACAGGAATTGCCTAAAAGTCAAAGCCACGCTGAATTAAACTTTCTGACGTTAAGTACCGGGCAAATCTTTCCCCCCTTTTTAACACCACGGCAAAACCAATCCAATATTCCCTCATCAGCCCCGGAGTCTGTCTGCCCCGTAGACAATCTCCAAGATTAAAACTGCTGCCTAATCCGTTCCTTACCCCTTCTTCGGGGCGCAATCATCAGAGGGACATTGGTTCCGTAGAAAGCAGGGGGACAAGTGGATGAAGGGAGGCTTTTTCCCAACGGAAATTCGGAATGTGGTCACGTCGATGCAATATACTGCGTCTCTGAAACGTGAATCATCCCGACTGTCAGCATTGTCATCATCATCAACTGCTCAATGATGACGATGATGAAGATTGAGAAACTCTATCCGTCTGTCGGTAGCATCCTTGCTGCCTGTGCCTGGAACGCAGGCAGGCGCCAGATTGAACCGGATCCCCACTCCACAACATGCATCTGAACAAATCCCACTGCACTCTCTGCAAGATGACCTGCAGACTTCAGTCTTCCCTGCATTGGAAACCCGAGGACAAATTTTACATTAAAGCTTGAATCTTTTCTCAGTGAACCTTTTCATTAAAAAAAGAAAAAAAAGAAAGAAGAAACTGGCGGAGCAATTATTCCCCCATGCCCCCAATTGCACTCTGTCTGCCTAATCTCTGTTTCTGTATTCGGTTCATTTGTAACATGGCCCCAAGCATCTTGGCCACATGTAGTATAAATTTCCACCTTAATTTCTCCAAATAAGTGGACCTGATCGATCGTTGCTTTTTTGTATGCACAGAATTTAAAATCAAGTCAGCTCAATACTCGCAGTGAAAGAAACTCTCAGTCTAAATTTCTGTACAACTGGAAATACTTGTTTGGTTCTTGTGACGAGTCAATTACAGGTGAGGTGATTTGAACTAATAAATAACAGCATGACTGGCAGTTTTCCAGCCCAATAATTATGTGACACCTGCAAACCAGCCAATAATCATGATAATGAAGCAAATTTCACCTGTTTATTGATGGGCCAGTGGTTATCCATCTCCACAGTTTTGATAAAACTACAGAATCTGACTTAGGAAGGCATGTCAGAAACACTTAATCTGACTTAGGAAGGCATGTCAGAAACACTTTCAGTGAAGTGTTGATACATTTGTTGTATGTACGTACATGTACCTGAAAGCCAGCCTGTTGCCAAAATGCATTATATCTGATGATATAGCATCCCTACAACTACATGTAGCCTACATCAACAAGTAATTTAATCAAATTAGTTCAAAACGGAAGCTTGCATAAGGTGGCTGAACTTTGGTATTAAAAGCATTCTATTTAATATCCCTGAAAAAAACAAAACCTGTTTACCTTTCACATAACCTACATGCAAGTTGTTTTAGAGAATAAAATGCTCACATACTGTAAATACGGTAACATGGAATGACGCAACCGTACACGTATGGGCTCCGTGCGCCGACGAAAGAGGGCGCCCTTTTACCTAACAACGACGTCCCATGGGCGGGACATTTCGCTGGTTGACGCGCACCGTTCTTGTGTCTGACGCATGTACACCAGGGCATTTGTACTATGTACACGCAGTGGCCGCGCTTCGCGGCAAATGAATTGCAGTCAGGCAAGATGGCGTCAGTCGGTCACCCCCAACTGTACTCTCTTTGCCAGTGAGGGGGTACTTGTGAACGGAGTGGATATGTATATCAATTGATCTTTTATTCTTGTTTTTGTTTATCTTCCATGCAGGCAAGCACTGGACACACATTACGGTCTGAAGCGATGGCAGATTGGCGAGATTGCATCCAAAATCGGCCAGTTGTATTACCACTATTAGTAAGTACAATGTACAGGACCCAACAAAAGGTCATTACAAAGCAATATAAGTGCTGAACGCAAAAAGAAGTTATGTTAACACATGTGTATAAGATAAGAGGTCCCCCCTCTACCCTGGTGTGTGGAATATCCCCTTGCACAGCAAAGGTCTATGATAGCGAGCAGATTCGCCGATTAATTACGCAAAACAAGACTGCGTCTTGACGAAAGACTCTGATTATTCAACGGGCGCCTTCTATTGGGTCACGGTAACCCATTGTATTACAAAAACATGGCAACCAAATTGACAAATCAACAGCTTAGTCCACCTAGAAACAACATCCGATTTCTAAAGTCGAATGCGATTAGCTGGCGCGCGGGGTCACGTAAAATTTGCATTGCTCACATATAATATATCAGACGTTATGGTTACAGAGAGGGCTCGGTTGGAGGACGAGTGATACTCAAGACTACCTCTACCCCCCCCCCCCCCCAAAAAAAACACATCTTGCCTCTTCAAACTATTTTGAATTCGGCATGTATTTGTTGAGTCTTGTTAGCAATCGACAAAATAAATAGACACCTTTTCGCTTCAGCATTTTCCCGTAATTTTGCTTATCAGCCGCCCGATCTCCAAAGGAAAAATGGCTGTCACACTTTGTTACTCCCATTCTGAAACAGTCCTGGCTGTAACCGCCAGCACCAAGTAACAATAACATCTTCCTCACAACCAAACTCCTTGCTTAACCACAGTCTACCATGAAAGGTGGGGGAAAAAAAACTGTTGATGTAAGCGGTTGTCCGCCGGCTATCGGTAACATAGAAATAACAGCTTCTTCCCGTGTGTGAAGTGCTGAGAAGACAGTATAAACCCAAACCCTTGCCGAGGCGTCGTGATTTGATTTGTTCCTAACTGGTTAATGGACGGGCGACCAGAATTTGCAGAATCGTAATGAATTAGATTAGCAGCTTGGGCGTGTGTACTCAGTCGGGTTTAAGTAAATGAGCGCGGTCAACTTGAGTCTGTATCACGGTGGCTGGTGGCTACATGTACTTGTAGGAAGGAAAAAAAACATCAAACCTGATTTGTCTGCAGGTACCGGTACTCTTGAAGCAGGGAAGGAACCGAGTGGCTAGGGGTTGAAAAAAAAGTCTGGGAAAAAATTAAATTGTTGGGAATAACTCTAAAAAGAGTCTCAAGTTTTGGTTGACCAAATAAAATTTATGAAAATTTGAACAATTAAATTGACTGCAACGGGGTTTGAACCTGCGACTTCCGGATTACCGTTCCGGTGCTCTACCAACTGAGCTATCCAGCCCTATGCACTGGTGTATCCTCGCTGAGTGATCCCCATTTGCTATTTCCCAGGTCTGTATTGTGACTTTGGGCGTGATCCCTGTAGCTGCGTACGGGTTTATGGCGTCTGACTACTGCCCCTTGAACAAAGATATTGACAATTGGGGAACCGCCAACATAGGGCTAGATAGCTTAGTTGGTAGAGCACCGGAACGGTAATCCGGAGGTCGCAGGTTCAGACCCCACTCCAGTCATTTTCTTTGTTCAACTTTTCAAAAGTCAGTTTCCCTTTGTGGTTCAAAATTTAAGCGGGTTTGAATCTGCCACATATGGCATACATTGTACTGTAATATTGAACCTACATACTTGTACAAGTATGTATTACATGTAGCACAAAGCACTCTATTAACCACAACTCCTTAGCATGATTTACTAGGAACCATGTATCCTAGCAAATTCCAACACCATATGGGAAACTGCACACACACATACCGGTATTTCTGACTTTGATTCTGGAGGTGTGCCAACCCAATGTAAAAGACTGTCAGTTTAGGGGTACTGTACCCATCCTGACACTGACAGATTCCAACAAAACATTGGGGTTTGATGGATTGAGTTCTGTTACTGTTAAATGAGCTACATGTACCTAGCCCTGCAAATGGTCGTTTCCAGTGAACGTTTTTGTTGCTGTGCAAGGCGTACATGTACATGTATACTGTATACATTGTATTTAAAAAATAACGTGTATGGTTGCGTCTGGTTCAAATATTTGTGATATTTTGGAAGGGGACAAGATTTTTACTAAAAATCATAACCTGTGTCCAGAAAAATGGTCACCTAGAGCAAACATATGAAGTTGTCTTTAGCCGAAGTAAGATTTTAGGCTTTGCAAGTAAATGTAAATGTACTGTGCACACATCTGTGTTACAAAATGGGTATAATGTACATGTAGATTCTTCACATATCATCACTTTAGCGAGAATGACTGGCAGTTAATATGCACAGTGGTTCCTAATGCAAATTCCTTGAAATTCAGCAGCGCACTTGAATTCATTCATCACGCTCTGCCAGTGGTCTAGTGCATTCATGCATACGTGTACATTGTACATCATGAAGACAGCTTTTAACAAACAAGATACATTTACTGGTAGTTACATGAATGAATAAAACCATGGGAACCATTCAATACCTGCAGTTACCGGTATGTACACATATATTAATGTACAATGTTAAAGTGAGCACTTCGTCGAATTCATCCATTATACGTAACGACCGTGCACACGAGGGCCATTCGCATGTAATCAAAGCCCCAGTGCTAATGTACCCTGACAGCAGGCACGGATGGGTGTCAATGGCATTGCAGACAGGAGAGATGAAGCGCGCTCTTCCGCCAGAGATTTACTGAATCTGCTTTGCTGATTCATATTCGCCCTGGTGATATTAATAGCGGTGCGGGGAAAGGAAGGCTGAAGGTTGAATGTACATTGCCAACAATACGTGTATCCGCCAATTATGATCATTGTGATGGAACACTGTTCATTCATTTGGTTTGGTGGGAGAAGAAAATCACAAAGACTGCAGTGGAGCCTGGACATTTTGGGAGTGATTAGTATTACAATGTATGTGTGTTTTTTTCATCAAAATCAGGGATGCTTTAAATTTTGTGTGAAAGTGGGTCTATAAAAAAAAAAAATTAATGATGAAGTATGAGTACCAAGCATTAACGTGAATGTTTAGGAATGGTTCATGAATTGTGGCTACACATTTATACATGTACATTACAATGACTCTTAAGTTATCGTTACCATGGTTACATGATTGTAGTCAGGACAAGTGCTTCTTGTAATAGGATTCACTTCGATCTGTCTCAAGAATGACGTGTGTGTTTATGAAATATAGGCTACCTGTGCACAGCAGAGTTTTGACTTAAGGGCCTAATTTCATGTCTCTGTCTGCTTACGGTTAGCGAAAAATCCCTGCTTACTGTAGCAGAAAAGTCCGTACTGAGGGTAAGCGTATTTCACAGGTTAGTGAGGAATTTTGGCATCTGCGCAAAACTGAGGACACTGTGCTTATAGGGTTAGCACTAAATCTTTCTGCTATCGCTGTTATCACAGAATGTGATTGTGAGCGCAGAATTCTGTGGTTAGCAGCGCCATGAAATTGGGCCAAGGTAAAAATACATACAGTTTTATTATACATGTATGTGCATACATGTAAATGATGTACATTTGTACATGACATACATTGTACTGTTCGTGTAGTATAGGGATGTACCGGTACAGTGTAGATAGAGTAAAAAATTGCCTCAAACCGGAACATTTTGGGGGAGTCTGGTAACACTGCCCAAGAGATTGTCAGTATGAACGATGTGTGTATGGCTCGACTATAAATCTCTGCCGTCTCAACCTGACGCATTTCCAACACACAATACCCTGGCCATTTAACAGACAGAGCCAGGGGCAAGATAATAAGTAATTTCCCCGGAGTGATTCCACAAAAAGAGAGATCTGTGATACACCTAGCGTTGTCTTCTCTTGTCTCGTACAAGGAGACACCGATCTGACAGAATGATTACAAATGGTTCCCTGCGGTTGGGACCCCACTTTGGATCGAGTTTCTGGTTTTGCGCGACCCCTGCAGAAATACACGGCACGGCAGTGTGGTACATTTTAGATTCAAGGAGCGAGCTGTGGTTTGGGCGGAATGCAAGGCAAATCACAAGGTGGATGGTGATATACGAGATGGTAAAGGATGCAAGGACTTAATGAACGCCATTATGGCTGCAAACCTTATGCACAGAGCGTAGTATAGGAGTTTGCAGGGTGGGGGATTAAACTCCGCCCCCTCCTAGTGCCCACAGCCAAACAGTGGAAGAAAAAGGGAATAAATACTTCCACAAAGTGTTTGAATGTCCAAATATTACATTATTTTATAATGCTTTTTTTTTCAATAACACTAAACACTCGAGTGGGTGTTTGCACACGTACCGTTATTACCCACTCTATTCCCTTACTTGTACAATGTATCTTTCATGCCACCTGATCGTTCCCTTGTGATTTCCTCGCAATATCTGAAGTGCAATAAGGAGAGTTCACAATTACACTTGTGTAACCTGGTAACAATGGCGTAATGAAATTTGTGGGCCCTACATTTCTCAGTCACTTATTTGGTCATCACGCCTGGAGAATGAGTACAAGTACGCTTTAAGTACACCATACAAGTACATATACGGTACAGTGTACCGTACATGTACACGCATGTTAATGTAAGTACACATGTACGGTACGTGTATGTGTGTACGAATGAAGAGGAAATTGAAACATTAAGGACCGTGTAAACATTTAGTTTCTCTGTGAACACAATTTAGTGTTCTTTGTTCCTGTTAAAGAAAAACTATAACACATATTTTACATTGTAATTCGCATGGGCATATATCAAGTTTATAAATACAAGTGAAGAATTTCAACCCAAAGCCAGGATTTTAATTGCTAGAAAATGATGGTTAATTTTGAATTTTTCTAATGATGATGATAAACACACACATAGCCGTGACAGTACCGGTATGCTGGACTTTCTGTTTTGTGATTTGAGTTTTTCACACAGGTGCGATAACACGTGTATCGCGTGCTGGCCAAGCGGCCTTCACACTGACAATAATCGATACCGTGCCAGCTTTAAGAAAACAGTTCTGTCTTGAGTCTGGAAAAGACAGGGGTGGCAA